CCTGTTGCTTTTCTGTTTTGATGCCATAATGCTTGCCAATCATGACTAGGTTCTTCTTTACTTTCAAATATTCATATAGCATGTAAGCTCCTCCACTCTGCACCAATTTTAATGCCAAAAAGTGTTTTAGCCACCTTTCTCGTCAACAACTCTACTGGTATATTGTTTAAATGCACTGTGTATAACTTGTAATGGTTGTTTTCAACTGGTAAAACTAAAATTTGGTCTAACTGCGCCCCTGCTTTTGTCAGCTAATCGGCCCTTTCATTCCATCTCACATTACTGTGTGCTTTAACTTTCACTAGATCAAGTGTGATATTCTTCGACTTGCAGATATCAAGAATCTTGATTATTAAGTCGATGTTTGGTCTCTTGCTTCACAATCTCATATTAGTTAATACTACTGCATTAGACAAACTTGCTATTGCTGCTGCACTATCAAGCTTAATCGCCACTTCACTATTGCATTTAACCATTAACAGTAATATCCAGATCGCTAATAACTCAGCTTTTATTGATGATGGCCATCTACTAAACTAAACCTTTTCTTCCAACATCATCTCTCTTTTACTACTATCCACCAAAACCCAACCTGCTCCCATTCTACAACCTAAACAATCCTTCATTAATGACCCATCCGTGTAAAAAATATAATTACTACTCTTCTTTCTACAATTTGTTTTTACTTGCTATACTAACAAGGACTCCAGTACAATATTAAAACCTTGCTCTATAACCAAACTCTTTTCATGCAAATGCACAACTATTGAATTAATTAGCGATCTCTCACCACTCTTTTCTAACACTAAATTACCCTTCGACTTAAACCCTTTGACTTCATTTATTAACACTAGTATTCCCTTACTTTTATTTATACCTGACTTAGAAATTGCCCCTAGTACTTCTTTTTTAATAACCTTTTGCCGGCATATATCAACTTTAGTTCCCTGATCGAAACTGCATTTATTACATTCTGACAATACGTTACTACCGTCACTTGTTGGCGTGTATTTCTAGTGATCAACTAAAAAATGAGTTTTCATCTTCTTCTTAACTCTACCTACTATTGACTCTGTATTTTCCTTATTTACTATTACCCATTCTTGACGTCTCTTGTCACTTGATATCTTTTCTGTACTAATTTGCAAACACAATATATTTCTTACTGACACCTTGCATGCATCTATTACTTCTTTGCTTGGCTTATTGCTAATAATCTTGTTCTCGATAGCTCCAAACTACTTTGCTTTTTGTCCTTTAAGTGAATTAGCTCGCAAGGCCCGAAACTTGCTCCAAGTTATTATCTTGGTACCGGCTTCATTAATTAGCTGATTAATGTAGGACAAGTTAAATTTTCTTATAGCATTATAGTGTTTGCCAAAAAATTCCTCTCCTAAAACTTCTAAGATCATAGGGCCTGTTCCAAACACTTGCCACTTCTCTGTGTTTGCACTAACCGAGATTTCCAAGTTGCTTGCCTTTAATAGAACTAGGTTTGCTAAGTTATTCTTCCATATTTTTCTCAACATCAACTTTTGTAATATGTGCCAAGTTTTTTTAACAAGACCTGCTAATGCAAACCTCTCATTCAACCTTATTCATGTTAAATTGCCTATTTGATCATGACTATTCAACCTATTCTGCAGACTAACTAATTGTCTACTAAAAATTTCTGACCGAGAGTTTTGCATCTAACAAGCCCTTGATGTGCCACTACGTAGTTGCCTGCTGTTGCTGGAAGTCCAATCTTGTTCTTGATAATTCGCATTATTGGTTGATAAATTCTATCAATACTTGCCTTTAATATTTTGGTTGATTGTAATATGTATGCTAACTTTGGCACAATACACATATTGTTTACATAAATTAACTGACTAATTGATAAACTTTTAAAATGCAACGTTCTTACAAACTGCCCAACAATACTTCTTGCTTTCTGAACTACTAGGCTCTCATTTGATTCTATACTTATCCAAACCCCAAGCAACCATGTTAATGATTTTTTCTCTTTAGCTTGGACTTTATAACCGTCTACTTCAACCTATCTTTCACTTTTGTCCAAGTTGGTATTATAGACCAAAAGCTTTGATTTTGCTCCATTTATTTGTATATCGTTAAACTTGAAGAAATATTGCGCTATCTGAACTATCTGTTCAACTTGACTTTTGCTTCTTGCTATCCATGTAGTGTCATTAGCAAAAGCTATCACTGTCTGCCTTACTGATTTTTTTCTTGTTGTATTTAACTGTAGATCGACTATTTTGTCTGTCTCTACTATGTAACTAAGCTTTTCATTATCCTGGATTTTCCTTAATAAGAGATTGTAAAAAATCCGCCACACTAATAAAGATATTGTCTCTTCTTGCTCGATTCTATCACCTACTTCAAAATTATCAGTTAGCCCAAAATGAGTAATTATTTTAACTCTTCACTTGTTAAATAACTCTATGATAAAGTCAATTATTTTCGGTAGCAGTTTTATTCTTTGGAGCGCAGCACGAAGTGTCTTTATTGAAACAAAGTTGTATATCTTCTTCATGTCTTGGAGCATTAACCACAACTCTTTTTTGCTTTCGTGTGCATCCTCCACTATTATTTTGACTAGGTTGATTGCACTTTTTGTTGAGCAACCCGGCAAATCTGCATAATTTGGCCCATGTAGAACTTTGTGTTTCACAAGTACTTTAGAGATTCTTTTGGTTAATAGCCGAGTAATACACTTTCTAAAGGTTTTCAACAATGCTATTGGTTTAATATTCTGTAACTAGAAACCCCAGTCTTTACTTTTTGGAATTGGGTACACTTGTACAAGCTTCTATTTATCTGGGATGTTACTGCTTGCTAAACACAAGCTTGTGAACTTTCTAAAAATCTTTTGTACCTCTATACCTGCATTCTTAATTAGCAAATACCCGATTTCTGAAACTCCAGGTGCCGTTTTGTTTTTTGTTTTTCCAATCACCTCCAACCATTCTTCTAGTGTAACTTTATTGTCTAAATCTGAGTACCACTCTTCATTCACCTCCTTGAGTAGTTTATAAAATTCATTAGTATACTTTGATTATTAAGCATCTTTCTTTCTTTAAATTGACTTTGAAAATGTGCTGCTGTTTTAGACAGAACATCACTCGACTCATTGTACAAGGTCTATACATTACTATCTTTTTCTAGAACACAGTCGAGTTTTATCTTTCTAAAAGGTTTGTTAAGGATACTTGCTAATATTGCTCCAACTTTATCATTAATCTACGAGCTACTGCTACATCGATTCTCTTATGTGTAGTCTTCTCTTCTGCCACTTTCTCTTGTATTCACATCGCTTTCTAACACTCTTTTGCACAAGTAAACCACTTTAGCAGTGCATCACCTTCATTTACAATATTTTCTAAACCTGTATATCTGCCTGGTGCTCAATATTAATTTTCTTAATCTCTTCACTAGCTGAGGCTAAATCTAACACAACATCATCACACACTGCTGCTTTCCTTGCTCGTTAAATAATTTTACTTAATTTGACTATATTCTTGTGCAATAATGTGATTTTTTTTGTAGTTCCTCTTAGTGATTGGTGCCGTAATCATGTGATGCTAATTGTCACACAATACAATATATAAAAATCAACAATTAGATTGTTGATTTTTATATATTTTACTACGTGACAATTAGCATCACATAATTACGGCGCCAATCACTAGTTCCTCTCACATATATATCCCCAGATATCTTCTTCTTTGGGATGTTCTTACTCGCAGCACACCTTATTGCACCAGATATAATGTCCCATATTATATTGAGCCTATTATGTGTAGCTGAAATCCAACACTTGGCAAAGTGCCTGATTACCTATAATGAATCTTTCGAGATCTTCTTGATAGCTCTTCCAATCATCTTTTGTTACTTCATCATATAAATAAACCACTCTAGAGATTCTTCTTTTCTTCTCACTTGCCTTACTGTGAGTTTTGATTAAGTGTTTGAGTGAGATATATGCAGTTATTATTGCATGATTGCTTGCTGTTATAACATCTGCTTCACAAATATTAGCCTCTCGAACACCATAATGAAGATCTTCAGACACCCAAATTTGATCAATTCTTGTTTTAACTCCCTGTCTAGACTATGTGAACTTCTTAGTATCTGGATTACTTGCTCTAAATGTGTTAACAAAACCCTGATTTTGAAACCATTTATGGAGTGGTAATACTTTAAAGCTTGCTGCATTCCCCAAACTAGCTTTATCTAATTCTCTATTAACAATATAATTAAAATCACCCATTATAACAAACTGCATCTTGTCTGTTCTCTCCATAAAACTCGTTATGATCTTTTGTTGAATCCTTTTAACTATGTCTTTGTCATTTGGGAAAAGATAAACTACTAAAACGACTACTACTACTTGTTTGAAATAAAAACGTGCTTCTACTAAATACTCCATAAAGCTTGTGACTTGACCTAAATATTTTTCCCAACTTGGACTCACTAATAGCCTAATACCAGAACCTTTACACTTTGAAATTTTACCTTGTGACCAAAAGCTCCTCATATTAATAATCCCTTCTAAGCTAAATCTAAGATCTTTCTCACTTGTATTAGTTTCTACCAAACTTAAAGGTCTATCTCTTCATCATTTGCCCACTAAGATATTGCCTTTAGTTTGATCTTGTTTTCTCTTATACCATTAATATTATGACATACTACTCTTAACCGAACCTCATTTGCTACCTTATTATTTATTGTATTAATATCCATGCTGTTAGGGAGAGCTTTGTCTTGCCGGACCAAAAACTTACTATACGAGCACCTTTCTTATTAAGCATACCCTTGGCATCTTTAGGAGTAGTTGGGGCCTCTGGCCCCCATATTCCTTTCCTCAATTCTGTCAAGTCTTGCTAAAATTTTTTCGAAAACACCTTTGTAACTGTGATTGAAACTCTCTGCTTTATTGCTCTTCTCTACTGCTTTACTTTTTGAACCCAATGCAAAACATGTAGCTTTGAGGTTTAAATTCTCCTTGTCTCATTCTTAGATATTCTTTGCTTAACCCAACTGCCTTTACTACCACAAAGACGCTTACTTTCTCTAACAGTGTTGTTAGGTCTTTTCAGCCTTTTGTCTGCACTTGGCTTTTTGATCGAGACTGTTTCATTGAAATCACGTTTTCTTCTATTACTTAGAAACTTTTTATACTTACTATAATACTTTGAACTTGTAACTCTTCTATTTTTTATCTCTATATCAGGAAGGTTCCACTCTAGCTTTGTATTAAAATAATACAAACTTGAACTTTGTACTTTTATTAGATCTTTTTTATTTTCAAAATACAATAGCATTTTTCTACTCTGATTATCATTACTATTACTTAGAGTATGGACTGTGTATACTTTGTAGTTTCTTAACTGTCGAAGCATGAGGCTATCGAATACTGTGCTTGGTACATTGTAAATTGCACTTTTAAACTTGCTTCTGTCTTCTAACATCATAATATCAAGTTTCTCTGGTGTTACTCTGTACAATTTACCTTGATCTAAATGAATTGTCCAGCTTTCCCATAAAGAATTTTCTCACTCTTTAATACTTATTTCAATACTAATAAAGGCTGCTTTAGTTCTAAAACTATATTGCCAGTCTAGAACTTTAGCACTCCTGTAAAACTCAAGAAAATTTTTAATTTCATCTGTGCTTATTTTTTTGGGA